ATAAAAAGGCTTTTAACGCGAGGCTGGGTTTCGAACCCCGTACCTCTATCACGGAAATAGCATAGAAGACCACTGCACTACAGGCTTGCTTGTGATTTAAATTGACATCATAAATTACTGAATGTTAAACAGGGACCTGCGAGCAGAACCTAGCTGGGACCAAAAACAGAGTAATGAAAATTTTACAGAAGTTGCAAAATCGCGAACAGGCTGAACGAAATTTCACGGTACGCGATCACAACATTTCCAACATCGACCCGTTTTGGGAAATTACAATCTTTACAAATTTAATACAAATCCCAGAATTTAAAATGTGTATAAAGTTGGGTTTTTGTCCAAATAAACGAAAAGACATTCAAGACTCGAAATAATACAACGAGACTCCTAAGCAACAAAATGGGACTCCGAAATTAAACGCCTATAACACAACAACACAACGGTATACACGTTTATAAAATCGAGAGTTCCAATTATTCCCGAAAAGTCCACGTACGCACGAAAAAAACAACGAACATACGAATAGACAAATAAACCGAATTCGAAACCCAACGCAACGATTTAACGAACGAAAGAAAATGATTGCTATAATTCTGAACAATAATAATTGAGGGGGTTTCGAAAAGTTACCCGTCTTTGGGAATTTACGAGAAATCGGGAAAAACGGTTCGGAACAAGATGGGACGAACAGAGCCTCGACGGAACTCGAAACTCTGAATGCTGGGATCGCTCGCGAACAGCTACTCGCTGGAGTATACGTCGGCGACGGCGGGCCTGCTCGGAGGTGCACGCCGGAATTAATGGTGGGAGCTGATGCGACGTTCGTTGTCGGAAAATGGAGCTTCGTCAATGGTGGACTGCAGATCGTAATGAACGACTTCTACTGCACGACTGAGAGGGTTTTTCGGAGAGACGCTGACGAAGGTGAAGTTCGCCGGAATCAATGGTGACTGGAACTTGCAGGTTGGGGGTCCCCTTTTTTTTTTAAAATTGCAGTTATGCGATTAGAGATGAACTGAGGGAATCGATAAACTCTGATGCTCCAACGATATAAAGGGACAAGAAAGGGGGAGAACGTGCGATTATCCACGGTAGAATTGCGCCGAACTTGAACGTGCAGATAAGAAAAGAATGAGACTCGGTCTCGATTGTTAGGAAGAAGAACAGAAGGGCCGTATAATACTTGGGTCATTAACAATCAATTAATGGGCTACCCAAAATAATGCTAATTGGGTCAACTCAATAATTTAACTAGGGCCAAAAATATTAATCAAATAGAATTGGGCTGAAATTAACATAGCAATTAGCGTGGGTATTAAATCCCAATCGAGTCGAGATTTTTACATCCGAGTGGACCGAAAATAAATATACGCGATAACCAAGAATTCCCGATCGATATAATTGACGACAAACAACAAATTAAACTGGATTATCTATATTTATAATACACGCAATATATAAATAATAATAATAATAATAATAATAATAATAATAATAGGCATTTAAAACAATTAGACATTTAATCACAAATAAATATTCTCTAATAATAATAATAAAA